TATTAAAACCAAATAAGCCTCCTTCTGATGCAAATTCATACAGACCAATAGCCCTCTCATCCGTTCTTGCTAAATTAACCGAGCATCTAATAAAAAATCGATTAGAATGGTTTATTGAATCTAATGAATTTCTTGCTCCGAATCAATACGGTTTTAGAAAGAGACGAAGCACTATGGATAGTCTTGGTATATTTACTACCGATATAAGATTATCCTTTAGTAACAATGAATCAACACTTGCAGCTTTCTTAGATATTAATGCTGCCTATGATAACGTTGATCTTCACGTATTAAAGCTGAAACTCCTAAAACTTAAGGTTCCTTTTTTGATCACAAATTTTATCATTAATTACTTGTCTGGTAGAGTGATTACAATTGATACGGGCGATTCAAACTATAAATATAGAACTTTATGGAAGGGTTTACCCCAGGGATGTGTTATAAGCCCTATCTTATATAATATTTATACATATGACCTAGATAAAGCTATTAAAATTTCAAATAGTGATTGTAACAGTGTATCGGTGTTACAATATGCAGACGATTTGGTTTTATATGTTTCGGGACGATCTATTTTAGAAATAAGTGATATTTTAAGTAGAGCACTGTCCAACCTTAAAATTTGGCTAGACTCTAACGCTCTTAATCTCTCCGTTTCAAAAAGCTGCGTAATGTTATTTTCTAGAATGCGTATACCCCCTTCTGTTTCCGTATGTTTTGATAATAAACCTATCCCTGTACAAAATGAAATAAAATTCTTAGGAGTTATTTTAGATGCAAAATTATCAGGTTTATCACACTGCTATTACGTTACAGCTCGATGTGAACGAGTTTTAAATATCATGAGATGCTTAACCGGTGTTTGGTGGGGTGGACACCCATATACTTTGAAACTTCTTTACAACGCTCTTTTACGAAGTATTTTAGTTGCTTTCTTGAGCCATGCAATGCTGTTGGGCTTAAAAAGCTTGATGGGATACAGTCTAAAGCTCTTCGCTTAATAGCCGGCGCAATGAAATCTAGCCCTATCAATGCTTTACAAGTTGAATGTGTGGACCCTCCTCTACGACTCTGGCGTCAATATCTTTCTGACAAGTTTCTGTTCCGTGCTTTGCAATTTGCTAAGCATCCCCTTCATTCCAAATTATCTACTCTTTCACTCATAGTATCATCATCTTCTTACTGGAGGCTTAAGTCACTACCTTGTTTAGTCGTAAGTTTTCGTAAATTTTCCTCTTTGCATTCCCCTACTCACATCTCCCAGCGTCTCTCTATTTTTTCTGCAGACTATGACGCTTTAACTCTTGTTCCTAAAATTTATTTTACTTTAGATATATCGCGATCCATTTATTCTGCAAATGTTGATTTTAATATAATCATAGATAGAGACTGGCCAGATCGACATTACAGTTATGCATCTAAAAACTCTTCCTCAGGCCACGTTGGTGTTGGAGTTTATCATCAACAATCAAAAATTGTCCAAAAAATTAAATTACCACCTGAAAGTTCTGTTTTACTGGCGAATGTTACGGATTATTTAAAGCTTTAGAATATATATATTATGAAATTGCAAAAATCTGTTATATTTTCTGACTCTAAAAGTGCGCTTCAAGCTCTACAAAAATTTCCTTTTAAATATACCAATCATCCTGTTATTATAGATTGTAGAAAATTTCTCTGGCAATGTCATTTAAAAGGTTTTCATGTAGTTTTTGCCTGAATACCTAGTCATGTAGGTATTTATGGCAATGAAATTGCGGATAAACTTGCCAATGATGCTGTAGATTGTGGCGATATTTTTCCATACAAAAACTTCATTAACGATCTTTTAGGTCTTCCTAATTCGGATCTTTGTGAATCCTGGGAACAAATATGGTTTGTTTCTAGTAAAAACAAAGGAAAGCATTACTCACAAATTCAAACTTTCATTCCTACAAAGCCTTGGTTTTATAATTTTAAATTTGGCAAGAAAACGACGTCTATTGTAACTCGGATGAGACTGGGTCATGTTTGCACTCCTTCTCATCTGGCTAGATTAGGAATAGTCAATAGCAGTATGTGTAATTGTGGCGCTGATGTTGGTGATTTAAACCATATTTTTTTCGCGTGCTCCTTATATGACTGTTCCTCTTTTATTGACTCCTTAACATCCCTTCGTATTCCCCTCCCGACTTCTGTAAATACTTTGCTTTATTGTATGAAGTATGATATTTATTTATGTATGTCTAATTTTATCCAGAAACACAATATTAAACTGTAAATACTTACCTGATCCTGTCCTTCTAAATTTCCGTTCCTTTTTTATCCTGTTTCCCTACCTTTACACTTGTATGTGGCTGACGCACAAACCGTGCAGGCTATAAAGGAGAAAAAAAAAAAGTAAGCTGCAGTGCGGTGAGCATAGAGTACATTGTTTGGCGGTGAGTGAAGGTGAGGGCACGGTTCCCAACTTAGGGGTTTTGCCCCCAGATTTAGGGGCTAGAAGGGTTAAAACGGACTTTTTTAGGGGCTGGAACTTTTTGGGGGTTTTTTTAGGGGCTTTTAACAAAACTTGCAATTAAATCGAAAAACAAAGCGTGTGTTTTGTGCGTAGAATGGAACGCACCACGATATGAAACGACTGAACTCACTGTGTGGCAGGTTGTTTCCTAAGGCTGTATGGACTAAAGTTCTTTGCCCTCCACTAATCAAAACAGCTAAATAAGATTTAACAGCCTGTCAGCTCATTTTCGTTTGATTTTCCATTCGAAAAATGTATTTATTCAATAAAATAATTTACTGTAACTAAATATGTAACGTTTTAATTTAGAAGCAACGAAAGAATTTAGGTAATAAGATAAGTAGGTACATATAACTTTCTATATTTAGGGGAATTAAAAAAATATTTAGGGTAAAATTTTGGTAAGGGTTGGTAACACTGGGTGAGGGAGATTATACAGGAGTTTTTGGCGGGATTTCATCGAGTGCGGTTGGCGTCTTATTTTAATTATTCTTAAATTCGTTCATAGTGGATATTGTGAAATAAAATGGTTGCCTGTAAAGTCGGTTTTACGGGCGAAGATTTTACGTGACAACGTCTTTTTCTCGGTAGAATATTTATTGATATGAATATAATTAAATTGCACAATAGGAACAAGGAATTGAATGAAAATAAGAATTGCACAAATTTTAACTATAGAAATATATTTTGTTTACTAAAACATTGTACATGTAAACTTAAACTCATCGTAACGTTACCGAGCGTTACACTTTTTCATAAGTGACTCCCAGCCGCAACCTAATTTAAGACGTTGTCACGTCAAAATTGGTGTGGTTTTGTGTAACTACTGTCTGCGTAACTGAAGAATTAGCGGAATCATTAAAATATACGCTATTCCGGTCAAGTGGACGTGAGAATTTTATTGTAGTGTTGACTACCTCACAGAAGCTTATCGAAAAAGCCAACTCGATACATTTCGTGCCAAACACTCCAAGAAACATTAGAATGCGTCACACCGACATTCTAATGTAAAAATAAAAAGAAGATAAATTTAATTAAAGACCAGGCTGTATGGGCATTGTTCCCTTTGCCTTCCCAAAACGGGAGAACTAGGGACACGATATCGAATAGAAAGTATCGATACTGTACTCATGAGTAGTATCGGTAAAAAAGGATCGTACTCGTAAAAGTATCGAAACAAAAGTATCGATACTTTAATGTATCGAGTACATTTTATAGGGCCTTATCGGAGCCTCTATGGCCTCTATGGCCCCTCCCCCCCGGTGTTTAAATTGAAAGAAAAACAATCGAATTTTATTATAGTACGTATAATCAAAAACAAAAAAAGGAATGGAAGGAAGGAAACATGTAAATTCACAAATTGCTATATTATATAATGAAAAGAAATCAGCTGTGATTTCTGACACTAAAAAAGTGTTCCTTAATAAATTATTAAAATTAATTAAATTAAATTCATTATAATTAAAATGTTAATTAAAAAGATCGAAATCTTAAACAATTTAAAAGTATGAAACTTTTCAGATTTATTTCGAATTAAACTTACTTTTCTTGAATTTTAATCATTAAAAAACATTATACCCCCTTATGTTAACTTGAATCTGACACGAAGTTAACGGCTGGCATTGGCATGCTTCACTCAAGATTATAATTATAGAAGAGGTAACGTCCGTCTTTTTTTCAGGTGGTTTCAAATAGGTATACACAGCACAGACAGAATAATAATGTTACACTTGAATAAATCAAATACAGTCAAGCGCAAAGCACAATAAACGGCGAATCAATCATAGTTCCTAACAATATGGTCGCTAAATAAATAACTATGAAACAAAACAAAGCGCAAAATAAACACATTCACAGATTGGAAAGAATTTCAATATGTCAGTTACTGACTTTATAACAACGCAATAGGGCATTTGACAGTATTAAAAATAAAGTGCCAAAATAACGAAAAAGATATTAGTTTTCTTATCTATTGTCACGTGACCCAAAACGCGGAGCCTAAAATGACGTCACACGCAAGTAAACTTCCCGTCAAAGTGACATTACATTGTATCGTTTGACGTTTTAATAACAGTCGTGTGACGTCACACACTAGTAAGACGCCATATTGTCCAGAGAAACGTTTTCGCGGCAACTTGAAAATGGAGTTTCTGACAGAATGATGAATATCCACACGACAGAATGATGAATATCCACTTTTTACGGACTCCATAAATATTAGCCAATAACGTGAGATCGTTGCCTAAAACGACAAATACCCTATGGCACGTTTTAGAAGGTTTGCTATGATTTAACAAGATGGCGTTGCCATCAATATGAAGCGCTTATCCAAATTTTTAAAGGTATCGATACTTGCCAAAATGTACTCATTTAGTAAAAGTATCGAATACAAAGTATCGAGTACAAAAGTATCGGTATCGAAAGGAAAAGTACTCGATACCACAAAGTATCGATACTTTTTTCGTGTCCCTAGGGAGAACTTCAACAAAAAAAAAAAGAGATTATACAGTTCTCTTTCGGGAGAAATAATCAGTTTTTACTTCATTTAATAACTTGACAAACAATTTGGTTGCTAGCATATCAGACGCAAACTATTTATTTAGCAGATCTTTAATTATGGACGAAGACACGAAATGTGATTCTGGTTGGAATGAAGAAGGTCCTAATTTTCGTCCATCGAACTCCGGTGGTGACTACAGGTAAACGTATACATGTTTCATCCATTAATGTGATTTTTATATCAAAATTCATTACGGTGAGTTTTATATTAAATTATCAACTTACTTTCCAATTGTGAAATGTAAAAATTAACAAATTAACACTCGAAGGAAAAGTAGGTACTTAGGATAATAAGCAAAAGATTCGCAACAGCTGGAGTTAGAATAAAGTAATATTTATTAATATTAACTTCAACTTATATTTCAATTGTCTTTTTGACCCAAAATTCACGATTTTAGTGAAATTATATCAAAATTTTCGTCCATCGAAAGCATAGTTACTGATTTGTAGCCAATTTCAAGTGCCTTGCTACGTGCTTGAAACTATAAAATTAACAAAGCTATTCAACTCTATATATATTACGAAAAAAAACTTAATATTACGTTCTGAACCTTAACACTTAAGTCATGACACTTGAAGCTCACATTTGTTTTTAACACCACTTGAAACATTATCATGTTTTTAAGTGGATATTGGTGTCGATTTCAGCATGATTCTCCAAACCTAAACTTAAATTTTACAACAGTGCATCCTTATCATTGCATATACAGAGTAAAAATGAGAGACTGATGTTAAATTTAGTTTTGTTTCATGCCATAATTGACACCATTAGCATGTTTATTCTTGGGCTCACTTTGTAAAAGGTATAGTGTGAAATAAAAGTATGGGAATGTAGTATTTTATGGTTTCATTATGTAAGTAATAATATATTGTAATAATAAACCAATGCACCCTGAATTTTGTGTTCCTGAGAAACTTAAAAATCAAGTAAATAAACAGTGAAACAATTTCAGAACTAATACAAAGGCGATCGAAGTGCAAGTAAAGTGTTCAAGTGCCATTGTTTTAAGACTTGTATATTGTAAAGTTAGTGTAGTATTGTGTGTTTAAGAAAAATCTGTGTTGGAAAGAACAGGCAAGCGTGAACTAGCATATGATTTCAGAGCCCATCCTGACACATACTACTATTGTAACATTTTTTGGCCCTATAGCGTTACCTGACTCAAAAGGTTACTTTTGAGATACTTTTTAATTTAAAGAAAATATTAGGTACTTAAATCTCATTCATTTATCAAATGCCAATTCCTGTTTCACATAAAATACTGAATGATTTTTTATGATATAGTGTTTCCCAGATAGTCTATTGCAAAACACTAAAGTCATCACTAAAAGATATACAATACAAGACCAGTTGAGATCAAATCATAACTGGTTTTTTATTCAAGTACCCATAATACCATGATATTACCTTGTGTCAATTTTAACTAACAATCAAATACACAACGGACTCTGCTTTAAGGTTGAGTGCGAGATACAAGTGTCCCTGTTAAATTTGTATTTTTCACACTTATAAGCCACTGTTGAGTTACTTTTACTTGTTCTCTGTGTCTGTTTGTTTTTGTGTTGTATCCGTTTTGTGTTGTACGCTTATTCGGTAAGATTTATCATCATTTCTTAACCTAATTACAATTATGGACACCGACCCCCTGGATCCCGGTGGCGGTTCGGCCGCATCTCAAGATTTATTCCCCTCACAAACCCAAGATAATTTAAGCGGTCTAAATAGAAAACGAACTCAAAATAGTAATATTAACCCTATTCCGCCAAAAAAAACAACATCTGCCCAAGTAGTAGCATCTGCCCAAACTACCTACATTCTACCAGATTTTGCTGATAGCAAAAATAACTATGCAGATGAGGATGTAGGTCCCTTATAGTTCACGTCTCGAAAAAAGAAATGGATCCCTCGCAGGGAGCTGTCCTGCGTGCTATAAATTTTGGCAAATTCTTACATGCTAACAACATTAAAAACATCACAGTAGATGGGGTAAAGAGGGTAGGCCGTAATCGCGTATCAATTCAATTTAAGTCAGCAGCCGATGCTAATTCTTTCATGAGCCATCCAGCAGTGAATGATAACAATTATTTAGTAAACATTCCTTCATTTAATGTCACTCGTATGGGAATTATTCGAGAAGTGCCTGTTGAATGGTCTATGGAAGAATTAGTTAATAATATTCAAGTTCCTTCAGGGTTTGGAAAAGTTTTTCGAGCTAGGCGATTACACCGAAAATCCATAATAGGGGACTCTGCCCCAACTTGGATCCCAACCCAGACTGTTGTGGTAACTTTTACTGGAAAGAAACTACCTGACCATATTTATTGCTATTACACTTCTTTACCTGTAGAAATTTATAGACTGCCAGTAATCCAGTGTAATAGCTGCTGCAGATTTGGACATGTAAAATCACAATGTCGGTCCAGACCTCGCTGCTTTAAATGTGGTGATATGCATGATGGACAAAGCTGCTTGAGCCAGGCACCCCCCAAATGTATTTTATGTTCTGGCAATCATCATGCCACTCATAATTCCTGTCCTGAACACGAAAGACAAAAATCGATAAAATTGGTGATGTCCCAAAAAAACCTGTCATATGCGGAAGCGTCAGCTAGATTCGCCTCTGTACGAAGGTCGTTTGCAGATGCCACCAGAACTAACTCACCGATTATAGTCTCACAGCACAATCCACTCACTAGGCCTTCTACTACTTCATACCGTAAAACTGTTGTAACTCCTCGTCATAGCCCCTGCCCTGCTTCCAGTCCAGGCTATGATAGACATGCACACAATAATATAATTCGTTCCCCCTCCTCATCCCAGCCAAATGGATATGCTATTGAATATAATCTCTCGGCTAATAATACACCAAATGATAACTTAATTGAAATGTTATTTTTACAATTGTCAACACTTATTAATTTCATCCAAAGATTCAATGATATAGAGTTACCGTACAATATTAGACAAAAACTTACTGAGCTATCATCTTACAACGCTAACATTCACCCCACTACTCCAGTGGAACTGCAGGAGTATTAAATATAAAAAATCAGATATAATACATCTCATAAACCGCCATAAGCCAGTAATTCTTGCCATCCAGGAGACATGGCTTGGGCCTGGAGTCCGTTATAGAATTTCAGGCTATGCTTCTCTCGGGGATGACAGGAGTGATAGCAAAGGTGGATCAGCATTGTTTATTCTAAGAAATTATCCTTTTGATCCTATAGTTCTCCCTTCACATAATAATGATAATTTTAATATAGTGGCTGTTCGAGCCATGAACATTTCTTTTGTTTCGTTGTACATCCCACATCCTAGTTTAACCATACTGTTACAAATATTGTCTATTATTAAGAACATTGAAAAACCATGGATAATCATGGGTGATTTTAATATTCATAATGAAGCATGGGGTTGCCATACTTCTGACCCACTTTCATCTACATTTTTAGATATAATTGATGACCTTAATTTATGTATTTTAAACGATGGCACGGCAACTCGACGGGTCGCGCCATGTCAAAACCCTAAAAGTGCTGTTGATCTAACTTTATGCTCGGCTAGCCTTACTGCGGGACTTAACTGGCAAGTTTTGCCTCAACCTTACGGAAGTGATCACTTTCCTATCCTATTATCATTACCTAACCCTAGAAGGGAACCCCCAAAATACAACAATAGACAAAAATTCCTACTATCCCAGGCTGACTGGACAAAGTACGGTTCTATCTCAGATGACAAAGTAAAAGGACTTTCACTGACTCTGAACCCAGTTAATATTAATTCCGACTACCAGCTATTCAAAAATGCTCTTTTATCTGCTGCAGAAGAGTGTATTCCACTACGCAATCTCCCCTCCTCTAGCCGCATTTCTTCACCACCGTGGTGGGACAAGGAATGTACCATGGCTTGCAAAAATCGAAGGAAGGCAGAAGCAACCTACACCTCTGCAATGAATCCAGAGAACTACCTAAATTATAAAAAAAAATCTGCAAAAACGGTCCAACTACTAAAATTTAAGAAGAAAGAAGGCTGGTCCAAGTTTTGTTCTTCCCTTTCCCCAAAGTCCTCCCCGACACTTGTCTGGAACAATATTAAAAGGTTCCGTGGATCAACATCTGATTGCCATAACACTTCTTCTGACCCATCTTCATGGTTAATACCCTTCAGTCAAAAAATTGCCCCCCTTTCGGCTCCTGCCATTGAAGAGATCACAGTCCTTCCTGCAATTCAAAGGTCCACATCTACTCTAGAATCACCCTTCTCTTGGGAAGAGCACTCCATAGTTCTATCAGGACTGGAGGACTCCTCCCCGGGAGTTGATGGAATCCCTTACTCTTTTATTGTTAATAGTGGAACTGACACGAAACTTTGCTTTTTAAATTTGATCAACACAATCTTTATCAGTGGTGCTCCACCCGACGAATGGAAGACGCAGATAATTATTCCCATATTAAAGGGAGGCAAACCTGGCAACGACCCATCCAGTTACCGCCCTATCGCTCTCTCGAACACAATGTTTAAAATTTTAGAACACCTCATCAAGAACAGATTGGAATGGTTTTTGGAGAACAATAACAGGCTAGCAGAAACGCAATTCGGTTTTCGTAAAGGATCAAGCACAATGGACAGTCTGAGTACTTTTGTGACTGATATCCGTATTGCTCTTTCAAAACGAAAATCAGTTGTAGGCGTGTTTCTCGATGTAGCAGCCGCCTACGATAACGTTCTTCTCCCGGTGCTCAGGCAAAAAATGCTCCAGCTGAACATCCCTGAGAGGATCATAAACTTTGTTTTTAATAGCCTAACCAATAGAGCGATTCTCATAAACTCCCAAAATTCTACTCTACCAGCCAGAAGTGTTTGGAAAGGTCTCCCCCAGGGGTCGGTGCTCAGCCCTTTGCTATATAGTATTTACACATATGATCTAGACCTGACGGTTAAGTCATTCTGTAATATACTTCAATATGCAGATGACCTTGCCTTGTACTTAGAGGTTGATAAAATTCAAGATGCTAGTAGTAAACTTAATGATGCTATTTATTATCTTAACAACTGGCTTTCAGATCATGGATTGTCTCTTTCTATTCCCAAAAGTAGTGTAGTTTGTTTCACAAGATCAAGAAGTATCCCCGATATAGATATCTCCTGCAATGGACAGAACTTTCCAATTAAAGATAAAGTAAAATTTCTGGGAATGATATTAGACTCTAAGATGACAGGTGTCCATCATATTAATTATACTATCCAAAAATGTGAAAAAAACTTGAATATTCTAAGAGCTCTTTCAGGAGTTTGGTGGGGTGCCCACCCAGTTACACAGAGGTTATTATATAATTCCCTTATCCGGAGCTTATTGGACTATGGCAGCTTTCTTTTACTTCCCTGTAGTAAAATTGCATTGAAATCCCTAGAAAAAATACAATCAAAATGTCTACGAATCATTCTTGGAGCCATGAAGTCCTCCCCCATAAATGCAATGCAGGTTGAGTGTGTTGAACCCCCCTTACAATTTCGCCGACAATATCTGTCGGATAAATTTCTCTTCAAAATCTACCAACGTATGTCACATCCTCTAATTCCAAAACTTCATCTACTACACCAACTGGCCCCTACCAATGAATACTGGTCCCATAAAGACCTGCCTTGTCTGCTGATTAGCTACAGAAAACTAATAAACCTCCCATCTCCTGTGTACCAATGTAGACTGAACCCTCTATTTGAAACCCCTTATCAAGCTCTAATTTATGAACCAGAAGTAATTTTAAATTTGGGCATAGAAAAACATTCATTAGATGCACAAGTTAGGTTGAACCAGATAATCTCTGAGAAATGGGCCGACTGGCTTACAATATATGCAGATGCATCAAAATTATCTGGAGAAAGTCATGTTGGATCTGCAGTCTGGATCCCTAAATATAATATAATTTTAAACTTTAAATGTCCTCCTATTTGCTCAATCTTCACAGGTGAGGCCATTGCCATATTAGAAGCTCTTAAATTTGCTGAATCCCATAAACTTAATAAAGTAGTATTATTCTCTGACTCAAAGAGCTGTTTACAAGCTATCCGTTCTAATCAATTTAAATGTAGATTTAAATTTCAATTCATTTTAAAAATCAAGACTCTTCTATTAGATTGTCATCGGCAAGGGCTACAGTTTGTTCTGGTGTGGATTCCGAGTCACACAGGTATCAGCGGCAATGAGACAGCAGATGCATGCGCCAAGCAAGCTACGGTCAGTGGCTCTCACACACAATGGCATATATCCCAATAATCTAGCCTCCATAGCAAGGACGAATTTGTTATTGGAATGGTCTAAAGACTGGGAAAAAACTAGCAAGACAAAAGGCTTACATTACGCTAATGTACAACCGGACATTCCATGCGTCCCTTGGTTTTTCCGAACTCGCAATTTTAAAAAACGAGTTATCTCCACCGTATCCAGACTTAGACTCGGACACGTATGCACGCCTGTATTTTTGGCCAAGATCAGGGTCAAGGATAGCTCCCTATGCGAATGTAGCCTCGACGAGGGTACCACAGATCACATTTTTTTCAACTGCCCTAGAAACTCCCCCTCATTATATACGTTACTTCCTACGTCTATCCCTCGCCCCGCTAATTTTAAAACCGTATTATTATTTGTCTACTCGGATTTTGCGAATGTCCTGTGTGCATATATTGACAATAATAACATTAAATTGTAGCTAGTAAGTAGATTATCGCCGCTTCATGCCCTAACAAAAAGCTTTAATTGTTTCAGGTATCTCAACATCCTCATACTTTAAATTCTCTTCCTACACTGTTCGGTTTCAGTCACTCGCCGTCCTTGTACCTGCACAATACCCCGCTACACTTTAAGCAGAGTTATTAAATTTCATTTATAAATATACCGAACAAGCATAGAACAGACAATCCCTGCAACATACACTAGTCATTGGCTTAATCTTTAAGGAGCCATTAAAGAAGAAATTGAAATACACAACAGAAGGTCATTGTTACATGTAGTGTTTGGGTTTTTATTACCAACTCACTGTGTCTCCGGTCCAGTGTAGTGAAGTCAAAAATATTTATTCAAATTGGATGCATAGCAGTTCTACTATTTTCCAAGTGTTGTCCTTTGAATTCATCAAGTACATAATTTTTCCAATCCCATTGTGTCCTTGAATGTGCACAATGATGTTATCAATGCTATTTTGTTTTAGGAATAACCGCTATAACAATGCATATGGAAGCTACACAGGTGGTTACGGACCACCAGGATTTAGAGGTCCTCCAGGTCCTCCATTAGGTTTTGGTCCAGGTTTTGGATTTCCACCCAAACCTATGTTAATGTGGGGAAGAGGATTCGGTCCTGGAGGTCCACCAATGAAAGAAAGGAGGGTTCAACATGAAGATAGGGCGATCAAATATCTTATGAGTGAGTATGAAAATATATAGTCCTTAGTATTTAAGCATAAATTAGTCAGTCTTACGGCTGATCCCCCAATGTTCAATCCGAATCTGAACTTCAATCATAAAATGAATTTTGTTAACGACGAAAGAGTTCCTAATATGATTTGTGGTGTTATTTTTCTGTGTTATATGTCATTGTTGCTTGTCAATGTTATTAAATCAATATACTAAAATATTTCCATAGTAAAATCCTCACACGACAAAAACCAGCACTCTAACGCTAATAAGTGGTAGTTGGAGAAAACTTAATACGTGAGGTTTACTGGAAATACTGCAAATATGTTGACAAGAGCAAAGCAAAAAGTGAGAATCTAGTTGCACAAATATGTTGTCTTCGACATCAATGCGAACAGAACATCATTCGGTTAGCTCTAGTAAGGTAAAGGAGCATCAGTCGAGTAAGTCCTCAAATGTTTCTAGCTCGAAAAGTCCGTTGTGTCCACAAATGCACGTAAGATTCAACTTAAACTTGAAGCTACCGAGGCGAAGGAACGGTTACATTTGGCTGCCGAGGAAGCTAAAATTAAGGCTGAAATGGAAGCAAAAATCGAGGAAGTAAGGACGCGAGTAGAACTAGACCTTGTTAATAAAAAGTTGAACGCGAGCCTAGCTGAACTTGAGGAGCGCAGGTCGCGCACAGGATCGCAACAAAGATTGGGTAACGCAACACGATATGAACAAAAGTTGCACTGTTGTAACACAAAATGCGCGGTACTCAAACTATGCTGCCCTGGATGATTATCACCCGAACCACGCTAAGCAAGATGTGCGTTCTTCAGCACCTGCTCTAGGAGACTCCCAACCATCAGCGTCTCAAGCTCAAGATCAAGCATTACTAAAGTTGGCTGACGCAGTACACGAGTTGGCTTTAGGTTCTGCACAGAATGATAAACAAGTTTCATCTGCTGACAAAATAATAAGTCGCATAGCCACACCAAAAGATCTGCCGCTGTTTAACGGAGACCCATTGGAATGGATTAATTTCTAAAATTTCTACAGTGAATCCACAAATATTTGCCAATTCTCGAACGCAGAAAATGTATGCCGGCTGCGAAAATGTCTGATTGGTGATGCAAAAGAATGTGTTTCAGCGCTTTTGATGGGTAATGTTTTAGCTGAAAATATCATGGAAACTTTGGAGTTACGTTTTGGCCGCCCAGAAATTATTATTTCAAAAATTGTCACTCTAAATTAGAAAAATTCCGTCACTGTCATTTTCATATCATAATGACATAATCTCGTTTTCAATCAAAATTAAAAACTGCGTAGTTGCTGCTAAGACCATAAATCAAGATGATTTCTTAAGAAGTCCCGAACTCAACTCTATTATTTTATCAAAATTACCATGCAACTTGATTACAAGATGGGCCGACTATGCACACGAAAATCGACACAGCACCTCAAATATAACGCGACTAGAACAACTTTCGGAGTTTTTAGATAATGAAGCAAAAAAAAATATCTAACATCGGCGTGTCGCTACTTCAAACGTCATTCAAACGGACTGAAGGCCCAGCTGCTTACTCCAATTATCATAGGCCTCACATCATATTAGCTCAAACCAAAGAGGCTACAAGTTGTGCTTTCTGCCGTAAATGCATAGATCATATTATAATGGACTGCCCCAGGTACAAGCGCGCGCTTCGAAAGGACAGATGGTCTTTCGTGCGCAACAATCGACTTTGTCCGATATGTCTAGTCAGCGACCATGACAAGAACACTTGTGAGGCTCCATTATGTTCAATTGATGATTGCGGATGACCACATCATCAGATCCTTCATTGGCCAGCTAGGAAGATGGACAATTCTGTTACTGCTGCTGCTACAGATGCCTTTGATGATACTGACGTAGACTATGACACGAACGTAGCAGCTCCTCACGAAGTGACAGCCGTAGCCTATTCACCAACACCTTCCCACATCTTATTGAAGTATGTTAGGGTTCACATCCATGGCCCTAACTGCGACGTTGTTACTGATGCTTTTCTGGACGACGGCTCTACAATTACGATGATAGATCAGAAGATTGCTGAACAAGCAGGGTTGAAAGGTCAACCTAAGACCTTACACGTGCGCGGTACTTGGAACAACAGCGTTTTGATTGGCGAGACAGGGTTATTGACCTTCGAAGTCTCGGGTCAACATCCCGATCGTTTCATGATTGAAGCTCGTACTGTAAACGGAATCAGTCTACCAAGTCAGAACTTTCAACCTGAAAGCTTTAGTCACCTCTCAGGTATTCAAGACATGCTAACTTGTGGCCACATGAAACCGTCTATGATTATCGGTCAGGACAATTACCTTAGCGCCTCTAGAGACTATAGAGTGTGATCCTTATGCAACGCGTACCGCTCTGGGTTGGACGGTCCATGGACGTTCATTCAGTAAGCATCGAGCACACGGAACGACTAAAGAGTATACACTGTTGATATTAAACCAGCAAAACGAAGATAGTTGTACGGAAAATGACTTACACGATCTCGTCAAACGATCGTATGCTTTAGATGCGCTAGGTGTCAGCATTAAGACGAGGCACTGCTGGGAAGATGTCAAAACTCTGAATATTCTTGAAGCGACGTCCAGGCATATGGGATCTCACTGGGAAGTTGGTTTGCCGTGGAAGGATAAGGATGTGAAGATGAAGGACTCCTATGCTACGGCCTATATAGTCGCCTTCAAGGGGTAGTCAAAAAGATGAATATGAACGAAGGTTTTCGAGTGCGATATAAGGAACGTATGCAACACCTTATTGACAATAATTATGCTTATCTTTGTAAAGAGGCCGACGCAACATCCAACCGTTTATGGTATTTACCTCATTTTGGGGTCGACAATCCGAACAAGAAAAAATTGCGCCTTGTATTTGATGCTGCGGCAAAATCTCAAGGTTTACTCATTGAACGATTACCTTCTTCAAGGTCCAGACTTACTTATATCTTTATTTGGAATTCTCCTGAGGTTCAGAGAGCGCCGCATTGCAATTACAGGTGATATCAAGGATATGTTCCTACGTGTATAAATTAGAAAAGAAGATCAAGATACTTTGCGTTTCCTTTGGCAAGACTATGACAAAGTCTCTAGTTCTCCGGCTATATATTGCATGAACTCTCTAATTTTTGGAGCATGCTGCTCGCCGTTCGTGGCTCAGTATGTCAAAAATATAAATGCTAAACGGTTTGAAAAACAGTTTCCTCGTGCTGTTACGAGTATAATCAAAAACCATTACATGGATGACCTTATGGACAGCCTTGACAGTGAGGAAGAGGCAATACGGTTAGCGCGAGAAATATATGACATCCACAAGAGTGGTGGATTTGAAATTAGGAATTGGACTAGTAATAGCATTGGAGTCCTGCGAAGTCTACCTAAGGATGACCTTGGTCCTAGCGCTGTTCAATTTAAGATTGAGGGATCAAGCGAGAGCGAAAGGACTTTGGGAATTTATTGGTTTCCAGCTGAAGATAAACTGAGTTTCGATGTTTCTCTGAAGCGCGTGAGCAAAGATATCCTTACCAGTGTTCAAAGGCCGACAAAAAGACAAATGTTAAGGGTGGTTATGTCTATATTCGATATACAGGGATTTTTGGTACCGCTGACTATTAAATCCCGAATACCCCTTCAAAACGTATGGAGAAGTGGTGTAACTTGGGACGAACACGTTAAGGATAGAGAATTCATCAAATGGAAAAATTGGCTGAAAAGTATCGAACCTTTAAAAACTTTATCCATACCAAGGTGGTACTTGAATGGCAAAATATCAATAGGAACGGAAAATGTTGTGGAAAGGGAGTTGCTAATTTTCTGCGACGCATCCCCACAAGCCTACGCTAAAGTTGGGTACTGGCGTATTTTCGACGGCAAGAATGTGGCCGTAGCGTTCATAGCCAGTAAAAGTAGAGTCGCACCATTAAGACCTATTTCAGTGCCGCGATTAGAGTTACGCGAGTTACGGCAGTATTAGCATGCAGGTTAGCAGCTACCATCGAAGAAGAACAAACGTTAAAGCCAAGTCGAAGATATTTTTGGACTGATTCTTCTACGGTTTTGCTATGGATTCGGAGTGATGCAAGAAATTATAAACCGTACGTTGCTAATCGCTTAGGCGAAATTGACGAGCATACTATCACCAATGAGTGGAGATATGTTCCCACCTCTACGAATGTGACTGATTTCGCTACTAAGGAGAATGTAGAAGAACTTACCTTTGATCATCCATAGTTCCAAGGTCCTGACTTTCTGTGGCTTGAGCGATCTCATTGGCCTAGTAACGAATTTGGAAAATGCTCTACAGACGATATTGACATTGAGCTCAAGAGTGAGGTAGTAAACGTTATTACGTCTTTTGAATCGTTTCCTATCCCTGAATCAACGAGGTTTTCGTCGTGGGTGAGACTACTTCGCGCAACTGTTACTGTTTTAGCTGCAATCGATAAGCTAAGGAAAAGAGACGACATGATTGACGAGGCTAAATTAAAGAGAGCTGAAATCCTTATACTGCAACAAGAGCAACTAAAATCATTTCAAGATGAGATAATTTTGTTGCAACAGAATAAACCTTTGGGTAAGAATAGCAGAATTTGGACACTTACACCTTACCTAGATGAGAATGGCGTTTTACTTGTTCAAGGTCGTATTGACGCAGTAGTTGGCGCCACTGCGAGATGAAGCGGCCTGCTATTTTAGATGGTCGCAGTCATATCTCACGGTTGATTATAATGCATTTCCATGTTTTGGCTGCACACTCATGTAACGAAACAGTTATAAATGAACTAAGGCAGCGATTTTGGATCGTTCACCTTCGGCCATCAGTTCGTAGCGTCAGTTCAAGGTGTTTAGTTTGCAGAATTAGAAATGCAAGGTCTGCCATTCCAAGACAGGGTGATTTGCCCGCTGGCCGAGTCACTCATCATTGCAGACCGTTTTCGCACTGTGGCCTCGACTTGTTCGGGCCGATAGACGTCACAGTGGGTAGAAGGCACGAGAAGAGATATGGAGTAATTTTTACATGTATGACTGTTAGGGCCATTCACCTTGAGATTGTTCAATTGTTGTTCAATTGTTCAATCTTTGACGACAGATAGTTTAATAATGGCCTTACGACGAATGGCTTCTAGAAGGGGGTGGCCAAGTGATCTTTATCCCGATAATGGAACAAATTTACGAAGAGCAGAGGCCGAACTAAAGAGGATGCAAACCGTAGTTGCTAGTTATCGTGTAACGTGGCACTTCAATCCGCCCTTAACACCGCATATGGGCGGAGCCTGGGAGAGGTTGATTAGAAGCGTAAAGACGGCTCTAAAAGTCGTTTTAAAGGAACGAGCACCCAGAGATGAAACACTTTCTACTTTGTTTTGCGAAGTAGAGGCGATTGTCAATAATCGCCCTCTAACACACGTTTCTGTCAGCCCAGCTGACACCACTGCTTTAACCCCTCTTCATTTTTTAATATGTACATCTTCTAACTTACCTTCTGGAACCACTCATGATTCTGATATCTGCTCTAGGAAGCAATGGCTTGTGGCCCAGAGATTAGCCAATATGTTCTGGTCGAGATGGCTTAAAGAAGTCCTACCATGCCTGCTGCCGAGATCTATGAGGAACATGGGTGATGAGCAGTTACAAGTTGGAGACGTTGTCTTGTTGGTAGAACCGACTGCGGAACGAAATTATTGGCCTCGGGGGATAGTAGAGGCGCTCTATCCTGGAGTCGACGGGCGAGTGAGAGTAGCTGATGTGAGGACTGCTCGTGGAGTGCTTCGTCGACGTTCTGCAGTCCGCCTGGTTCGCCTACCCTCAAACCCCAGGGGGGAAGAGTGTTAACGAGGAAAGAGTTCCTAATATGATTTGTGGTGTTATTTTTCTGTGTTATATGTCATTGTTGCTTGTCAATGTTATTAAATCAATATACTAAAATATTTCCTTAGTAAAATTTCTATTTTATCCTCGCACGACAAAAACCAGCGCTCTAACGCTAATAAATTTTTAATCTTTAGATTGCTAAAAGGTTTCGATGATAAAACTTTGGTTTAAATCTTTGATCTACCAATGTAAACTATATGTGTGAGGACCGATACGCAATGAAAGATTGCTTTTGTATTAAATTGGATGTTTCGGTGTTTCAATAAGCAAACTGCTATTTTTGACAGATGACTTATCAAAGTTAAACTATAGTCTTTCAATCCCTTGTTTATGACAGATTATCAATATCATACATTTTGTAATCTACGAGTATACTAATATTATAAAGAGAAAAGATTTGTATGTAAGTATGTTGGTATAAAAAGTCCCCAAAAATACTGGACTGATTTTAAAAATTCTTTTACCATATGAATGTTACATTATCACTGATCAATATAGACTATAGTGTGCAGAGGTGTTGATGTTAATACGTATTAGAATCGGTGGCGTGATTACTCACAAAAACAATTGTCCAGATTAACTAAGGTAGGTACAGTGTTTATAATCCAACACACAATTACACACACATATTAAAGTACAGAAGGAAGTACACAAGAAGAATAGATAGTTCGGAAAGTAAGCGAGCACAAAACACAGCATAGATAATTACGGCTATAATATTGCAATAATATTATTAAGCAAAAGCTTAAGAATTAGTATCGAGTGACATAGTCTTCGCGCGGTGTATCAATCTCGACTGGTATGCGTGGCTGCGCTGTGCGCTCGCGCTGCTTGTATAGGGAAACCGGTACGGCGACTATTGAATTGTACGTTTCCATTTCACGACGGCGAGTGGGCCATACCGTATCATCCGGCAAATGTTCGGATGATGTAAATAATATGATATTGAGATAAATATAATTTTGTATAAAGATAATTTTAGCGAATATTAAATTGTGTAAGTATAATTATTATAAAATATATTTGTGTGTTGTTAAATAAATATAAGTTTAGAATAAGTTTAGATGTAAGCGTAATGTAAATATAATTAAGTATGTGAATTAATTATATAACTATATTATGTATAAATAAAGAAATTAAATGTAAGTCACCTACATAGGCTATAGTGTATTTTAAAAAGTCAGGGTTCCGTATAAAAACTTTGATAATGTAACCCAACGTGGGTAAAAAATACCAAAAATAACCTTATATCGCGTATGCTGCGGAAGTCATTGACGCCGCTTCGGCAATACCGTGCGTACTCGTGCTTACCCGCCGCCCCGCATCCCGCGGACCATCAGGACTGTCGACTTTACATTTAATTTTAATATTAGCTTTTTCTATATATTCAAATTGTTAGTTTCCAACATGAGTTGCTTGTTTATTGTATTTTCAGGTTGTGGGTTAGCAAAAGAGAGCGTCAAAAATCTACCAAGAGAATTCTTGCAGTTCATCGAGCCGCATTCCTGTGGAATATGTGGCCAAAACTTTGATTCGTTTTCCATGTGTGAGTGAAGTTTGGAGTCATTGTAATCCTAATTATGAATATTGTATTTTTCATCTAACAGATGGTTAATATTACAAATATTTAATTACAGCGCGGGTTCATTACAATTCCAAAAGTCATATGAAGAACCAAAAGAAATGGCTATCACAGAAACCTGTTATGGGACCTAATAACATGCGCAAGGAGGTAACTTAGACAATTGGACAATGTAATGTTTCCATAGGGGTTTTAGCAAACATTAAGTTCACATCACATTTTGGATACATAATAAATTGACAAAGTTGAAAAAGATAGTTATATATCTTCACTTGTGCTGTTGTCACCATAAAATGTATGATAATATTAATTAAATTATGTATGCTGTTTATGGTTGACAATATATACCAAGTGAGTGTTATGTGAACACCGTTGTTAAAATCGAAACTTACATTATTAAAATTGTCGCACTCAACGTTGTTAGAAACGTGGAGTTCATTGATTGCAAATTAATGTTTCTATGATAGCCTAGGTAGACCATCCCCAATAAATCATATCAGTTTCAATTTTGATTCATCAAAGTGTATAAACTAATAGTCTGAGTGAACTTTTGTTACGTCCACAATTTATTATTGTTATAAAAAGATTTGTTATTTTAGCGTCATATAAAAATATGTAATCTATACCTATAGGTACTTTTAATTTGACACTAAAGATTTTTATGGAACTGAGAGTATGACACTTGATACTCAATATTGCAACTATATACATCTATTTTTATGTGATTATGATGTGCAGTTCTAAGGTTTTCATCCTATTAGTACACCCTACCAATCGATGAATATTTTATTATTATGGTACTGATGCCCCAATAACCGTGAGAAATTTCAAAAATCATGATTTTCTCCACATGTTTTAGATGCCTTTGCGATCTCGTGAACTGTACTGCGAGTTATGTGATATTGAAATCACATCTAGAGCCCATGCTGATTCTCATTATGCTGGCAAACCGCACCGAGCGTAAGTATACTATAATATTGAATATAGAAATGAAGGATAAATGTGAAATATAACACAAAACATTGTTTTCATTGCAGAATTGTAGAAGGTCGGAGACAACCGAAAAATAACTTATTGCTACAACCTGGCATGGGTGGTCGATTGTAAGTTGAATTGTTTTTTTCTAATGTACTAAGTATAAGACAGATTTCAAAAGAAAAAAGGATAAAATATTTTTAGGTACCTTAAATCAAAAAACCGTCCCAAGTGCATGTAGAGCAAGGCCACGCGCAATAGGTAACATAGTACAGTGCGTTATTCGACCGTTGAATGTTTTTAGTATATTTATCTACACTCACGTCGAAATATTCGAACTACGAAATTAAAGATGGTTTTATCAAGACGAAATCTGTAGAGATGTCAATTCTGTACATGAAATATATTTTTAAAATAACTATCAGGGGGTGATTAGTGATCGATACTGATGCCAAAAATGCAATCAGTCAAATTTTTGTCTGTCTGTCTGTCTGTCTGTGTGTATGTTCCTTATAGAAACAAAAACTACTCGACGGATTTTAACGAAACTTGGTACAATTATTCCTCATACTCCTGGGCAGGTTATAGTATACTTTTCATCATGCTACAATCAATAGGAGCAGAGTAGTGAAGGGAAATGTTGGGAAAACGGGAGAAGTTACTCCATTTTTTAAGCTTCCGTCGCGTGTGCAGCCTTAATGGTTAAAGTTACATAGAAATCATGTATGACGGAAATATTGTACATAAATTTTTCTAGAAAATATCCCGCAACAGCATATGTCTATCTTTTATGGTTGACTCACAATAACACGTGTAACTCCCGATAGCTTAGCAGTTCGGAGCATTCTCATCATATTGGTTTACTCTTACTTTTATAATACTCTGGACTCATCCCTAATTTAAAAAAGTTAACATTATTACATATTCAATAAAAAAAAACTTAGAAATCGGTATAGAAACACCAAACTTATACATGAAATAAGCCATCGCGCCGTCGCACGTGAATACTGAATCCTGCTATAAGGATTATTTTTGTGTAACGGTTGCCGCGCTCGACACGGGTCGCGGCGGCGCAGCGGTAGGGTATCAAAAGGCGGGAGGTCCGAGAGCGAGCTGTCTAAATCTGTTTTCTGCGTCGCTCCCTCCCCTGGGGGACGATCGCTTCTGATGAAGCCTTATAGGCCTTCCCGGCCAGAGGCAGCCCCTACGGGTGTTATTTAGTCAGTACGAGTCTGACATAACATTGCAGCCGGCTGTAGGGTATCCATGAGGATTTCACACCTGCTCCCCTGCCTGGGAGGAAACAAAAAAAATAAAAAAAAAGAGAGCGAGCGAGCTTCAATATTTGGCTGTTGATGCGTTTAGAGCGCTCGACCTTATTGACAGACAATAATTGATATTGAGAAACCGTGCTTATCAGCGCGACTTTTAGTCTTTAAATAGTTTATTTGAATTTCTTTTGTTGTTATTTTGTAAAATAGGTATTAGTTGTTTTGGTAGTGTTTAGATATTCGTTCAAATTAAAAAATATTAAGCGTAGGTACTTTTATTAATTAAAGTAGTTATAAGTATTTATTTTTAAGTGAAGTAGGTATAGGTAGATAGTATTGCACAGGCGTTTCAGCTTTATTTTCATTTCTTTTTTGTTGTGAGTTGTATATATTTCTGGTTATAATTCTATAAGAATATTTTAATTTAAATAGTCACTTAGATTTTAAGTGTAGGGTAGCTAAAGTTAGGACCACATATTAGTTGTTTTGGTAGTGTTTAAATATTCGTTCAAAGTGTAATTTAATCATATGGGATGAATGTACGATGGCCCATCGAAAAGCAGTAGAAGCGGTAGACAGAACTTTAAGGGATATAAGACAAAATGATCGACCAATGGGCGGTATTACAGTTTTATTTTGTGGTGATTTCCGACAAACCTTACCGGTAATACCACGGGGAACCCGAGCTGATGAGGTTAAGGCTTGCCTGAAAAGCTCTTATTTGTGGCGTGATACACATCGGTGCATTTGACTATAAACATGCGAGTGAGAACTGTAGATAACCCGGATGATCGTGAATTGTCTGATATATTATTAAAGAAAATACCTTCCCCAAAGATACCTATCCACTGCTACACCAAGGAAAACTTATTCTGACGCCTGAGTTATGTTGTATAGTGCAATCCCAACATCATCTTATATCGTCAGTTTACGGTGACGTAACAAATATATTAAATAAGGACAATTCTTGGCTATGCGAAAGGTCCATTTTAATTCCTCGCAATGACCAGGCATCTGAGATTAATAATAAAATACTGTCGAATATCCAGCGGGAAAGCAAAGTTTATAGTTCAATAAATAGAATGGCCGATGAACAAGAAGCCACTAATTACCCGATAGAATTTTTAAATTCTTTAAATATGCCCGGACTTCCTTCTCATGAAATTTGTTTAAAAATTGGCATTCCAATTATTCTGCTCCGAAATTTAAGACCACCACAACTTTGCAATGGAACTCGGCTTAAAGTAACCCAGTTGCAACAAAATGTAATCGAGGTTCAAATTTCAATAGGTTGCGGTGCAGGAGAAACCATCTTTACTCCCAGAATTCCCATGATACCAAATAATTTTCCATTCCAATTTAAAAGAACTCAATTCCCAGTATCGGTGTGTTATGCAATGACAATAAATAAGGCTCAAGGGCAGACTTTTCGTGTTGCTATAGTAGATCTCGGTGTCAGTTGTTTTTCACATGGTCAGTTATATGTCGCTCTTTTAGTCCAGTCAAATTACGGAAAAAAAAAGGGCTAAAAAAACATGAGCGAGCACAGTTTGGGGATTTTGAGGATCGATAGGGGGGTGCATCCTGAGCTTAAGTTCCAATTTGAGGGGCTGTACTGAGGTCAGCTCAAGGTCATTTCGATGCAAACGCGTTTAATTCGATATCTCGAGAAATATCAGTGTTAGCCAAAAAATTATAGAGACCTTTTTTCTTCTAAATGAAATTTATTAACTTTTTTATTTACGCAATATAAAAGGGTAAATTAATCGATTTACCCTTTTATATTGCGACAGTGGCGTGGATTTCGCTCGGTAAAATAATATATAACTCCGAAGGTATTGAAGTTACAGAAAAAAGTTTAAGAACAAAATTGTGCATAATTAAAAGATATACACGTTGATGATCGGTAAAATTCAATAAAATTGAATGTTTGGGGAGAAAACGACGAAAAATAGGGAAAAACATGAAATTTTTGCCTTGCGGGAGTAATAACTTAAAAAATATTGATGTTACAAAAAAAAGTTTTAAATAAAAAAGTTAATAAATTTCATTTAGAAGAAAAAAGGTCTCTTTAATTTTTTGGCTAACACTGATATTTCTCGAGATATCGAATTAAACGCGTTTGCATCGAAATGACCTTGAGCTGACCTCAGTACAGCCCCTCAAATTGGAACTTAAGCTCAGGATGCACCCCCCTAACGATCCTCAAAATCCCCAAACTGTGTTCGCTCATGTTTATTTGATTCCGTAATTTGACTGGACTATTTCCCGGGTTAGCAGTTCTAGAAATCTTTATGTTCACGTGCCGGACGGGTCAACTTTCAACGTAGTTTACCCGGAAGCTTTGCGCTGAAGTATTTTCATTTTATATGTACTTAAGCCTCATGTGAAAGTGATCTAAACAATATTACCAATACATTAACATAATAACATACAAGGAGTTACACGCTGATGATCTCGGGGCACAGTGATAATAATAATATTCTGCGGTTCCTTATTGCGATATTTTTAACAGTATTGTGGATTGACATATTATATTTCCCTACTAAAATACGAAAGTTAATCTGTCTGTCACATCAAAACCACGGAACCCTGAGGAAGGACATATGCTACTTTTTTACGAAAAACGACGAAAACGCGAAAGTCGCAGGCTAAAGCTAGTTAAAAAATAAAATTCGTTAAAGTACTGCTAGCTGTATCATAACTGTTTCAACACATGTGTTAAAAAAAATATTTAAAGATGTTTTATACATTAATCGAAAGTTCAAAATTACAAGACAAACGACGGAGCGTGCGGCACGCTCCCATACATGGCGCCGCGCCGCGCCGTGCGTATTCTTTACGGTTTTTTTTTAATTTAAGTTCGGTTGGATCTCCCTTATCTAAGCGGCGCTGCGGGTTAGAGTGACAGAGGAGGAGTATCTACATCAGAAAGTTGTAAAACTAAATGAGCACAGGAGATTGGTAAGTGAAAAGGGGATTGGTGGGACCTTTTCACCCTCCAATCCCCTTTTCACCTACCTATTTACCTATTAGGCTATTTATATCTATCTGTTCATGTTACACCAGGGAACAGGTGCTCCGTCGTGAAAGAAAGCATTTGAAAGCCCCCCCGCAGGAGACTGCTGAAGCTGCTGTCAAGGATCCCAAGACTGTTTCTACTGATCTATACTGCAATATATGCAAGGTTCGTTAATATAATATTATATTGTAAAGTAAGAATTAAAGTTTAAATTTCTTCTTTAAAGAAAATGTTTGAGTAGCTTACGTCATTTATATATTCGTTAACTATTAGAATAAACAGTAACTCGAACATGTAGCTATGTATTATTATCTTAACTGTGTACTGAAGCTATTTTCCTCTCCTTTTTCCCCATAACTCAGCCCGCACACCGCGCTGTGACTAATTTCAAATTACCAACAGCCTGTCTAAAAGTAAACAATATGTTTACATAGAAGTCCTAATATAACATCTATGCTTTTCTTTTCATCTGTAAAATTTTTACTTATTTCAGTAATTTATAGCATCTCGTGATTACTTCCGTAGTATCACTCTGTGGCAGACTACTTTTTATAAGACTGCCTCTTTTACGCCACTTGATTAACTTGCTTTGCAGTAACATTCTTAAATTCTTTTTTTTTAATCAAGATGTGTAATTTTAATTGTTTTAGATTGCCGTGACGTGTACAGAACAATTAACCATGCATTTGAATGGCAAAAAACACCTTGCTAAAGAAAAACATTATATACTCACGATGATGAAAGGCGGTAATAATGAAAGCAACGGTAAGATCTTTATGCTAAATACTTACAGAAACCATACATTATTTGTGTGTTTAAACGTTAAAACATTAAAAATTTCAAAGAGTTACTTGTTTACGTGAAATAAATTACAGAATTTTCTGGGGAAGCCACCGCAACTGCCCAAGAGGGAGATGAAGAAGATAATGAAGAAGGGGGTAAGAATTAGCTTTTATCATTTCATTTACACTTAGAAAAAATCTATCCCGTAGCTTTTTGTTGATTTTTTTTTTCACCCCTTTATATTGCTCAAATCAATTTTGTATTCTTCAACAAACTTAGATTAGTCAAATTCTCCAATCGCTTATAACGTTACCATAGTCCATACTAAAATCATTAAATTCATATATGATTTGCGGTAAATAATAATTATTAACCAACTTTTTTTTTGTTCTTGAAAATACGAGACAAACGGCCTTTGATGTTTCTATCTCACTGTGCCAGTTGGACTCTGTGCATCGGACAACGTAAAATGGAATATATGTCGTAGAAGATAAGGTTGATGCTACAAAATGTAAAATTGTACATAAGTTCGTGTTTAATTTACATGCAATAAAGTCGTACATTTAATTAACAAATATTAATAAAATTTAGATGCAGAAACAGCAGAGGATGAAAAAAAGGAGGAAGCCGAAGACAGCTTCGACTGGGGTAATGGGGGTGGAAATTGGGATGAACCCGAGACTTTTGAACCTGATAACAGTAAGAGATCTATTAAAATTTATTTATACAAAAAATAATGATGCCGTCGAGGTACATTGGCCTGAAAAACTATGTATTACTCTTTTAAAATTGCAATAACTTTTTTAATTACACAAGATATACTTACGAAGTAAAGGAGTTTAAAAAAGAGTTAAATTTTGTACTACAGTTTCAAAGAAAGCTGATAAAATTTGCTACAAAACCTTTTTTTTTGAAATCCCTAACTTAAATAGTTTAGAAAGGTCTAAAGGTCAGCAAATTCTAGCGAATTTGCTGCAAGTGGACCTAAGTATCACAATTTTTTTAAATTCATTTTTTATGGACCTAAGTATCTTGCTTTACCTAGAAATGGATTTGGCTCATACAAAAATGTTTATGGGATTCTGCCCTCGCTAGTGTTGGTTGTTACACGTGTTAAAGGGATATCTATTCTTATTAGTGAATTTAGTTTCCTTTCTACGTGGAATTACGAAAATAACAAGTGTTTTCTATTTATACTAACAACAGGTGTTTGGTAAGTCCGGTTAAACTTATGTTTTCCTGTCCTATCCATTGATTACATAGCAATCAATGGATAGGCCCCCTCATGAACCCCCGGACCCTCCGGACCGCCCTCCAACACCGCTTCCATCAATGGAACTTTCCCCGCCGGTATTCACTCAGTCTGGTCTTAAACGACGTAACGATACGGAACCTGAAGAAGTGATGAATGCACCTTGTAAAAGAGCTATTACTGATGTGAGTCAGTCGGACACGCCGCCGCCCTCTCCCGGATTATATACCCATCCATCTTTAAATCACACAAATAAGCAGTATCTAGATAGTGATAAAGGACCTTTTCTTGTACATGTTTCGAAAATTGAGACGGATTCTACAACTGGCATATCAATTCATCCTCTAAAATTTGACCAACTTCTAGAAACGAAGAAGAGTCGTACCTCCATGGTGGGACTTTGAATGCTCAGAAGCGGTTAGAAGACAAAAAGAAGCGGAAAAAACATATAATGGTTCCATGACAATGGACAACTTTGTGGCATACCAGCGAGTTGCAGTTCAAACCAAAAAGGTTCTTAAACAAAAGAAAAAATCCGGTTGGGTCAAATTTTGTGAAACTTTAACTCCTTGTACCTCTTCAACAATAGTTTGGAATCAAATAAAAAGATTCCGCAAAGCCGGCAACCGCGCCAATTTGACCGCTAACGACCCTTCCAACTGGATTGATCTGTTTGCCGACAGATTGGCTCCTCCCACTGTTCCAAATTGGGATTATCTCCCAGTTAGGACCAGCATTATTCTATCTTCCACAGACTCACTTGGTGGATCCTTCTCTTTTGATGAACTTGAAAAAGCCCTTTCTGGTTTGAAGGATACCCCAGGCCTTGATGGGATTCCATACTCGTTTTTAATAAGAGCCACAGACAAAATAAAATATTACTATCTTAAACTAATAAACACCTTCTATGACAATGGTATAATCCCTGAACAATGGTCCAAACAGATTATTATACCACTATTAAAGCCATTACCGCCCAATTACACTCTCGTCTGTTTTACTAAAAGTTGTGGAACATAATATGATAAAAAATCGCCTTGTGTGGATTGTAGAAAACCGTAATATACTAGCAAAATCACAATTCGGGTTTAGAAAAGGATATAGTACACTAGACAGTCTTGGCGTACTTACATCAGACATCCGATTAGCATATGAAAATAAAGAATACATCGTAGGGGGGTGTTCTTAGACATAGCGTCCGCATATGGTAATGTCCTAATTCCAGTGCTCAGGCACAAAATGCAACAGCTGAGCATTCCCGAGAAATTAGTTCTCTTCATATGTAATTCAATCTCGTCTAGATCCATCCTGATAAAGTCACAAAACCTTTCATTAGTTATTACAGTGTGGAAAGGGCTACCACAAGGTTCGCCCCTTAGTCCGATCTTGTATAGTATATACACACATGACATGGAACTTTCCACAAATTCTTTTTGCCAAACCCTACAGTATGCAGATGATTTAGCTCTTTACGTTCGAGTAAAATCTATTTCGGAAGCTACATCACGACTGAACTCTGCATTATTTTATCTCGGCGAATGGCTGGGGGATCACGGGCTATCCATCTCCACCCCAAAATGTAGCACGGTTGTCTCCACCAGGAAGCGAAATGTATCAGTTCCGATCATTGAATTCCAAGACTCTCATATTGAGGTTAAAAACTCTGTGAAGTTCTTAGGAATGATATTGGACTCCAGATTAACAGGTGCCCCTCATTTCAATAATGTCGCTAATAAAGCAGAAAAGAGTGTCAATATCCTGCGAGCGCTCTCTGGCGTTTGGTGGGGTGCACACCCAGAAATTCAAAATAAATCATAATCTTTATTTGTTAAAAACACGGAATATAGGTATTACATAACGGATTGAGCACGTGTTTTGTCATTTTAAAAATAGCATGCAAATACATAATATGGAACCAATAAAAAAGAGATTAATTAATTATAACATTTTTCTGTAGAATTATGAATGTCAGAGTTACTAATATTATTTCAATAAAATATACAATGAATATAATATAATAAAATATTAATATACAAGATGTCAGATATAAAAAAAAATTAAAACGATACATTTATCATAATTATTATAGGATAATTTAAAACATATGAGCTGGTTTAGCATGCATTTTTCGAAGACTTTTGAAAGGATCGGTATTAACGTAATAGGACGATAGTTATCCGGATTCTCTCTGTCCCCTTTCTTATGTACCGGTTTGACTAAAGAGACTTTTAGTTTATCAGGAAACGTTCCTGATATAAACGATACGGTAGCTATGTCATTTGGATATGTCAATGTTTTATTATAAATTTTCAGATTAGTAATATTGTCATCAATTTTAGTATCATTTATTTTATTTTGGATTACTGACCATGTAGCCTTACATTTATTTTTGCTCTGATTTATGAATTTCATAGTAGTATTTTTGCGCGAATAATATATGCATTTATTTAAAATATTAGTATATGATAAGTATTTGTTTTTGTTTTCTAATGTTTTGCTTTTGTAATATCCGAAGCGCAGGTGTCTTTTTGTTTTACAACTAATTTTAAGACCAGGGCTTATCCATTTTTGTTTTTTCCTATTTACGTTATTGATTTTTTTTCTTATATTTGTGTATGATAAAAGCCGGGGTTCAGTGACTTACCGCAAACGCTCCTTACACCGCCACGGGTACCGAGGACTAGGCTTTAGAACGGGGGTCGTTAACGCTCTTGGGAAACTATTGCCGGCAATATATCGCACATAGGAGTCCACAGGTCAGAAGGTTCACGATATCTTCCAGAGAAAAATGGGTACTCTCACTTGATGTAACGGAAATTCTTTTAGAGCTGTTGATAGCTGCTTACACGTCGGGGACTCGAAGTGAACTGCTCGCTCATTGGTGCTGGCGTCGGCCGTAAAGTCGTACCAACACACAAGGCACAGTGGTAGGCTCAGAACGAAAATACGGTTTGTCACCTACCCCATACATAAATTAAAAAAAGAAATACAATCTTCCAATATGTGTTGTCTTATTAAAAATCTGTTACGCTACGGAACATGCCGCTCACCTTAAAGGGACGTAAGTGCCTTTAACTTGAATCAATAAATGAAAATAAAAATAAAAAAAAATATTAGAGAGAATGCAAAAAATAATATAAACTAATCAATAGGAAGCGGGCACACCTTAACAACGGGCCGCTTGAAAAGAGTATTACCCCTACGCAGTGTTATGACGCGAGTTATGTTGTCAGATCCGGGATGAAGAGCATGAACTCGCGCAATTTTCCATTGCAGAGGCGGGAGATTGTCGTCGCTCACCACTACAACAGTACCCTCACGGATAGTTGCACCTCGATCAGAAAACCATTTTTGACTTTGCTGCATTTCGTGTAAATATTCTTTACTCCATCTTTTCCAAAAATGCTGAACAGATTGTTGAACCCAACGCCACCGCAAGGGCGGATCCAGCTTTGGCGCCAGGGGGGGTCATATAGCCAGCTTTGGCGCCAGGGGGGGGTCATATAGTCGTGGTATATTAAATATTGAAAGTACTTAAATAAAATCCCCCTGGGTTTGGTTCATCTGTACCCAGCCCAGCGGGGGGGGGGGGGGTCATGACCCCCATGACCCCCCCCTGGATCCGCCCTTGCGCCACCGTGTAAGACGATTAGGATTCTCATCCACCAAGGAAACATCAGGCAAAGAAGTCAAAGGTTCTCCTATCAAAAAGTGTGATGGAGTTAGGGGAAGCGGTTCCGGTGAAGCACTCGTGGCGCAAAGCGGACGCGAATTTAACACGGCTTCTATTTGGCAGAGAAGAGTGTGCATCTCATCATAAGTTTGAGTGCGAGTGCCAACTACACGGTACAAATGATGTTTAAAGCTTTTCCCGCCTCAAATAATCCACCGAAATGACTGGCATACGGAGGCCGAAAGTGCCACGTTATGCCTTGTTGGAGTGTAAGCTCGTTTAATTGATTCTGGACAGCTTTACTGCGCAAGAATGCATACAAATCTTTTAAATAATTATTGTACCCAATAAAATTCTTTCCGCAATCCGAATAGATGTCGGTACATAAGCCTCGGCGCGAGGTAAAACGTCGGAGAGCGGCCAGAAAAGCTTCCGTGGAAAGCTCAGACACAAGTTCCAAATGTATGGCCTTAACGCTCATACAGACAAAAACCGCGACGTAGCACTTAATAACCTTTGCATTACGCACCTTATTTGCACGCACATAAAATGGACCGGCATAATCGACAGCGGTCTTAATGAATGGTCGCGCGGGACGCAAACGAGACACCGCCAGTGGTGCCATGCGCGGCTGGTTACGAGCGGGGCGCGCGCGGAAACAAGTAACGCAGCGATGAATGCGTTGACGCACTATATCTCGACTAGATAGGATCCAATATCGCTGCAATAACAAGTATTGGACGGTTTGAAGGCCGGCGTGCAAATATTTTACAT